ATAATTACACTCTTTCAATACAGTACAAATTGCAGACCTGGGCAGCGGGACAGGGAGAGATATAAGCAAAGGGTGAAGGGAGGGTGTAGGGTGGGAGAGGGAGGGTGTAGGGTGGGAGAGGGAGGGTTGGAGACAAGAATGACTAACAATTACAACACGATAGGGGTTGGGTCTCATTACTGCGCCCATTAACATGCACCAAGTAATTTTCCCCTATCCGTTTGTGTGTGCGCGCATGAAAGAGAGAGGGGGGGGGGGGTCTGTGCGTGCTGTGTGTGTTCCTGTGCGCCCAATAGAGTGTGGCCATTAGGTTCCGCAACACACCTCGCTGCCTCCGTGCGCAATCTGCCCGGAGAACCCGCCGGCACCTCATTTCTCTCCCATACGTCTGAGCTCCGCGCGCACTCCTCTCAATTCCCAGTTGATCACGATCCATGCAAAGTGATTAGAAGGCGCGTGAAAAGAGCCCGGTCAGCGGATCAGCCTCGCAGATCACTCAATAGGTACTAAGCAGCGCCAGGCACCGAACGATCGCTTATTTAACCTGACGGTGGTGAAACACTGCATCAGTCTCACCTCAATCTCCCCCTGCCCTCACCGACAGCACGCGTTACACACGGTCAGCGGAATCGACGGCCAGTTTGAATCGGCTCATCATGTGTTCCATTTTTACGCATGGCAATCATGCGCCGAGATGGAGCGGAGTCACTTGGAGACGGGGGAGGTTTTCGTTAGAAGAAGAAATCGTTCCTCAGCAGAAACGTGTTCGCCGCGCTCTCAGCCAAGAACATCAAAGTTGCTTTCAGCTCGCTAGTCATTTAGTGAGTCAGTCAGCCAGTCACCACCCCTTCAATCCTGCTGCCCATGGAAAAAAATGTTCCACATCTCTACAGCCAAAGTCCCCCTCTGACCCCATCCTCGTTTCATTAGCCTATTAACCGTGCGCCATGAAAAGACACGGGGAATTAAAATGTAAATCAGTACTAATTAAATTCGAATAAAAAGCACCACCTTACCCAAATCTATACACTCGATGGCATGGTCACGGGAAATTGTAAAGGATCCAGGTGAGATGGTACAGCGCTTTTGCCACTTTCCGCTTCAAACTCCACTGATTATTTTTTCCACTACACGGGGCAATCCTTTCGAGCCTCCTTTGCAGTTCGCGGAGCCCGCGCACAAGCACACTGAAGCAGGGGTGAGGAGGGCTACTGCCACGCCAGAGTATCAGCCCTTCGGTGCCGGGTGAGGAAACAGAGCTCGCGCAGTAGCGAGGTGGTCCAATCTGCTATGATCTCGCCACGTCCCATCTCAAAACCACACTGAGGAGAAAGTCATCAGAAGTGCGTAATTCCCCCAAAGAGACACCGGGCAGATGTTTTGGAGAACACTCCACATAAGTTCATCCCCCGGCGCTTGGCTGTCACACAGAGGCGTTATAGTCGCCGGAGAGATGCTGATGAGAGTGATGGTATAGTGATGCGGGAGTGATAGTTGCGCTCCCGTCGCTCCTCCCGAGCAGGGATCGATTGGACATGAGAAATGCGATGCGAGCCCGTCTTCCCCATTCAGAACACGTGCAACAGCGCCCGCCCAGTTCACCAGCTCCCAAGTACACCCCTCTTCCTCACTGATGTCATGTAGTTTACAAGTAGCCTGGACTGTTGGGGTAAAGGGAAAGGGGGGGGTCAATTATGTGCCTCCGTGTCCAAGGATACATGATAGCCATTATTAGTTCTTCTTAACAGGTCTTAACAGTGTAATTTTTTTGCCAGCGTGAAATACTCAACATCTCCACTTTGTATGGTTAGTTTCAAAGTCTTAAAACGCGCAGGTACAACAGCTCACTAACGGAAAAATTGTACAAATGAATAACGGATTTACCTCGCCTTGTACTGTTTAATGCTGTCACAAATGTCTGATGAATGACAATCACGGTTCCTGACTGACAGGTGCTCGACTGTGCATGAGTCGATGGCCCTTCCTCATCACTTAATAGTTCGCCTCGCCTCTACACTTCGATCATGTTACAGATGGTGTCTGGATATCAATACTTCTTCTGTGCTCGGCTATACGCGCGGATAATGTAAATCTAACCAACCAACCAACCCCACCACCACCACCGAGATGTTAAATAGAATTTAATCACCTCCGCCTCTCTGTTACGCACCAGGAGACAACCTATCAATTATCCCATCCCTAGAATATTCTAGTGTGTTGATGGCGATTGATTGCTGTGCGCTGTATTTGCAGTCCTTAAGACTTAGAGGAGGTCGATGTCTGCTAACGACCCAAGGTAAGGAGTATCCCATCCATTCAGATGCCTTCTTAGTTTTCTTGTTGCCAGTATTGCTGGGTCAGACGGTGAGCCCCGTGCAAGTGAGGGTTTTTTGTTGGGAGTAGCTTAAAGATACTTGCATTTTAACGACTGTAAGCAAGATAATCAGTCTGCAGTAATCTCTATTGCCTCCTCAACCCCTTAAGACCATTTTACTCGACTGTGAATGAGTGAGAAAGTGCTGTAGGCCTATGCTATTTTCAGATTAATTTAGGTACATGCAGCCTTTTAGTTGCAGGATTCAGGAAAAAAATAAATAATAAAACATTAAACGTAGGTAAAACTCGTAGTTTCAGCACCATGGACAGGTCCAGGCGGGTTGCATATAAAATCAGAGCGCTGGACAGCTCCAGACTGTCCTGTCACTGTGCTTTGCCTTGCGCTTACTTTGCTGTCAAGTAGCTAATCCAGTTTGCCGACAAAATAGACAAAAGTAGTTTAACTGTGTAAAGTGTAAGTGAACACCAGGACGTTGATAAAACATAATATATCCTGTCTGCACCGGTCTACGGTGCTGAACCTGTGTGTCGCAATGGGGATAGGAGGCCTTTTATCTTAAAGTGAGGCAGCTAATGGATGCAACAGCCCATAGCACTTATCTCATCTATCCTTCCTCAGAGAGGCCAGATAGTATCAGAGGAAACCACATCATGTGACGTAAATACGGACTTTTAAAGTGTAAGGTTAAATGGTGTGAAATTTCTTTTACTTCCTTTATACTTCCTACTACACTTCTAGGCGTAGTTACAGAGCCATCACTTTTCTTACAATGTTTCACTGTATGCATCCGTTTCAGTGTTTTAATCTTAAACAGGGACGGCAAGTTAAAGGTTGTAGAATCATATTGCGGTGTTGTGGAAAAGGTAAGAGAATAGGCTAGAGTCCTCGTGGCATTTAATCTATCAGAGGAGCGGGGATTATTCCCCCAAATAATCATGGGAATAATCACCCATGGGAGAACAACATTAAGGAAATATCTGCTCATAACTTGAGGAATATTCCTTCCTCCTAAATCGATATTAATGCATTACTCCCGCACATCCCTCCGAAAGACAGATGGATTTCCGAGTTTGGCGGGGGGGGGGGGAATCAGCGGATTGATTGATTTGTCTGAGGTCAGTGGTGACAAATTTTTGTCTTTTGAGATAAATTATATTATGCTAATGACCACGTTGTAAAACGCAAAGACAAATTACTCTAAGAGTAGCTTCAGGCGGCAATAATTAAATAAACAGAGCCAAAATGATGCCGGTCTGGGACATGCAGTTGTGTAAATAATGGAGCAGAGTTCAGAATACTAGTCTCGATTTGGCTGTTCCAATGGAAATGTCAGACAAGCAAAAAATATAGGACACTAACGGTCACACAAAGCAGCTGTCTTGAAAACCAAACTCGTAAAACACTCCTCATTCTGTGTGAGTCACGGCTCAGACATGATCTTATGGCTTTACACAGATTCCACTCCAGTGATTAAACCGAAAATGAAATCAGCATCTCCTGCTCTGATGCATCTAAAGCCCGTTTATTGTATAGGCCTCTTAAGGGCGACAGAGAGAAGTAATGCAACTCTTCTGGAGGAAAACACACACGATTTCTTACGGCCGACGAGATAAGGCCACCCTACCATGGCTTTTTGAAGAACTCTCGGTGGTAAACTTCCTGAGGCAGTAAATGCGGGCCTTGTTCGTTAATAGTAGGGGAGAGACCACTAATTACACACGTGCATACGCTGCGCCCTGGTGGCCAATGAAGAAAGTATAAGGTCGCAGTGCGCGTGCAACGACCGCCCCACACAGAGAAGAATACTTTTTACACTGTGACTCCCTCACGTTTCAAACTTTAAGTCGAAAGGCGTGTTGGGTGATTCGATCTGCTTCTCACGTTCTGACGTCTTCACTTCCACTCAAATGCTCCATGTCGGATACCTCCAGCAGGCGGGCTTGGCGCTAAAGTAGGCTACAGGACTTGGTCATCGATTTGGAGTCGCCATGAAGGTTAATGAGAACAGACATCTTGGTTCCTCTGCTTTTGATCCCCCCTGCATAGAGATTCTTCATTTCTTTACGAGGTCACTGGCAGTAACCCGAGCAGGGCCATAAATAGTGTCCATCCCAGACAGGCCCGGTGTCTGTCAATACTCAGAAAATTCAGACACAACATCCGCAGAGCAAACAGGAGCACGACTGCTGACATCAAACTTGTGATATTGGAGCAAATACACTTAAACAAACATTGCCTTCTTATGACCGATGGATATATTTGTGAATAAATTGTTCTCACTCTCTACACTGTTTGGAACAAGCATGTCAGGGACGATAACACAGCGCAGGTTGAAGATTTGGCCTCATGTGTGATGTTATACTGCCCCCCTGTGGTTATGGTGGCTCACTGTTAATTCGGGTAGATTTTGAGGTCATCCAGATTTATTACGGTGACAGTAAAATTTGAACCAGTGCCCTTTGCGAAGAGCGCTTTCCATCCTTAGACCTGAACTCACTAAAATAATGAAAGCCACAGCAAAGAGCTGTCTGGTATCAGCAAGAAGTGGCAAAGCAGAGGCTTCAGTTTTTCCCCTCCAAGGTCAGACTTCAAAAAATGATTGATTAAATTAAGATGAATTAAATCTATGATGCCTAATATTATCCTAGACAGGAAGGCATGCTTCAGCGTTTCTTAGAATTATTTATTTCAAAATATTACACAGCTTTTGATTATGAAATTGCCTTCAAGTCAAGCAAAGCCCTGACCAGAAAGGTCTGACTGAGGTCTGAGTTCAACATGGTTTCATCAATAAATAAAAGATCAAGCTCACAGAGAGGCCAAGATACATAAAAAATTATCTTCTGATCGCTCAAAATACACATGTGCATTGCATCAGACTGCATGCAAATTGTGCTTATTCCACTTCAGACTAGTTTACTGTAAAACATCAAACCTTTAGGAAAGGTAACAGACAACAGCAGCACCCTTATCATTTCACCATACTGACAATGCATTTCCTTTGGTAAAATGCAAAGGAATTGACAATAAAAAAAATAGACATCAGTATCAAATATCAGTGACATTTTCCATCAAACCAACAAGATATACATTTGTTTAAATAATAAATGTTACCAAGTAAAAGATAGATACATCAAAAAGAGGCAAAAATAAAAGTTAGATTTAAAAGCCTGCCAGATATTTTGATATTTAGCTGACAAAACTAACATTATTTTCATTATATTGCATGAAACAACTGAATGGAGTGTTGAATTTTATTAACAAATACTTCAATGTATGGTTCAGAGTAGTTACTATTAAAGTGTTTAAAAAAGTAGTGCTGCACATCTAAGAATGCTAATTAATACTGGTATAAATAAAATCCCTCTTAGGAGTAGGAGTGTCTTCACTTTTGTCTCTTATTTTTAGAGATGTTAGTGTTTGTGATGAGCACACCTTAAAACCATGAAAATTCATTTGTCAAACTAACTGCACAAAAAGTCTGTAACTATATGCGGGAATCCAGCATGTGAATAGTGTGCAACATATTACATTTGTGTATGCTGGGTGTGCTCAGAAACTCTGGTGTGATTGTCAACAGCTCTGAAGAGGATCGCATCAAGGTGACTCTGATCAAATGTGACAAGATGTCGCATGTGAAGGGATGCCATAACAGCTGCTCATTAGCTAACTTTGTCGGTGTGGAATAAAGTAGATGCAGCGGAGATAATGAAGAAACATAGGACACATCTTATCGCTTTCCAGATGCTTGGACTGCACACGCCTCATCCTTTAACTGATTTGAAACTAATAGACCTTGTCAAAGCTATTCCACACCCAGTTGTCCGCCATCCAGCTTTGACTCATCCAGGCCCATCAAAGCAGCGGACAGGGGGTGACAAATACTCTCCCAGACCACTGATATCCACTGGTGGATGAGGTAACTTTAAAAATGACTGTGAAGTGGTCTTTAGATCACAACAAACGGCAGGTTCATATTAAAAGTTCCTCAGCAGACTAAAGTTCATCATGAGGGGTACGACGCTGCCATTTGGGATGGAGCATGACGTAATGAGCTGCTTCCAGCACAAGGCGCATGAACTCCCCCACATCAAAGGAGTAGTTGGTAAACTTCGGGTGGTCCCCGAGGGTGGGATGGTGACCCTGAGAAAAGGAGGAAAATATACACATTAAGAGGAAATATAGAAGCATGCAAAATGCAGCACAAAAGCATAGAAATGTGAGTGTTTGTGTCGTAAGGGCATCCTTGCAAATAGATGACAAAATGAAGTCTGTACATTTGTTCTGCAGTGCCTATAATTGCACATAATTAGATGTGTGCATGAGAGTGGAAATGTGTGTATATGTAAGATAGGTGAGATGAGTTGAGAAAGCTTGTGCTGAGGTGCCGGGGAGCTAATGACTGCTATGGGAGTTTCCCCTACCTTGTCCTGTGGGAGCACTTTGTCCATTTTCTGCCAAGTCACGTATCGAATGCCCCGCAGCCGAGCCAAATCTCGATAGCAACTCTCATCCTGACAATTATATCTGGGAGGGACAGATGCAGACACTTTATCTCTTGCTCTCCTCTGTCTGCCTCACTTTCACTCTTTCTTGCTCAAAGTTCTCTCTCTCTCTCTCTCTCTCTCCCTGTACACTGTGGTTCTCGCTCTGTGTCACTCACCAAAATGCACACAACGCACACACACACAAAAACATTCCAATTAGCTCCTCTACACGGGGTAGCCAGGTGTGATGAATGCCTGGTTAATTAGACAGTATTTCACAGTCATACGCCAAGTGTCTGAGGGGTACTTTGGGCGCAGCACGATGTAGCTCTCCCTGCTCCCCTCTCTGTTTTTTTCTGCCTGTCACTCACACACACACACACACACACACACACACACACACACACATACATAGACAAACAAAGAGTGTCACTGACAGCTCAAAGATGACAGCCCAGTCAGGGAGGAAAAGGAGATGTGTGAGACCCGCCCCGTGCATCCCTATGAAGATGTCAGAGTTGTGGGTGATCCTCAACTGCACCAGAAAGGGAACATCCCTGAAAGACAGACAGGGAGTCGCACATCAATCATCTTCATTGTGTAAACACTGTCACTATTACACAATTTAAAAACAGCACTGTTACATCCTTGACCAATACTAAGCAGCACTGAATAGTTCCTGTAGTACTGTGGCAAGCACTCCATAACTCACTTGTATTTGTAGTCCACCACATTGACCTCCAGTAAAGGCACAGTCTTGAGGGCATTTACCAGCTGTAACAACAAAAGAGGGACGTGTACTTGGATCAATGAGAGCGCAAACAAATCTGGGCAGTGACCATATAAATCACAGGCCTTTTTTACATGTACTGTTTGTAGCAAATAAGATTTTGAATAGGCACTTAACAGATGTGGGCAGTAAATCAATGGTGGAAAGGAGGAGCTGAGGGAGTGGGAGGAGGAGGTGGCAGAACACGATGGAGAGAAAAAAGAGCAAGTGCAAGAAAGTAAGAGACAGAAAGAAGGAGGGAGGGTGTAGCTGGACTCACCTCCACTTGGTTTAAAATCCGTCTGTATTCTGTGCTGCGTGCCAGCAGGGTGACACGAACACGCCCCTCCTGAAAACAGCAATGCACCCAATAATCAATCAGCCAAGGACAGAAAAGATGGGCGTCTGGAAAACATGATGCTCATTCAACATAACTAAAAAGCCTCACTTCAAATGTCTCTTTTATACAGCACAGAGAAAATGACAAATTAGCTAAAAATCACATTCCAATGCATTTTTTTAAAGTGGATTCAAAGCTTTTTTTTTCTGAAGTGCTCTTATCAGGTAATACATTGTGTACTAAGATGCTTCTTTTTCTATGTTCTTTTACTGCCACCTTGTGTTCTGAAAGAGAATTTAGACTGAGGTATCAACATTTGTAACATAGAAATAAACACTAAGGATCAAAATTTAACTATCCTTAAATCAATGACAATAAGATCAATGTACAACCTGTGCAATCTACTGTACACAAACAACCAGCCAAACTACAGCTAAACACATCACTATAAGCAGTGGACATTAACACAGACCTCATTTCATCTTTTCCCTCTCTTGAAAAATCCTTTTTAAAAGTACTGAAAAGACCAGACCAGAGCAAATTAGGATGAGGGGAAGATAGAAGGAGAGGGCGGTAGGGGCAGATGAATAGGACACAATAGAAGAGAGCAGCAGTGTGAATCTCTGGCTGTGCCATTAATCTAGGCATAAAAGGAGGAGCTGGTGAGAGGGTCAGGGCCGAGAAGACTTCTCATTCAGTCGCTGGCCTGCTATCGGTAGCAGTCCCATGTCTCGCTAAAAAGCCTCTTAACATATTTCAAGTGAAGGTCATGAATACCCAATGAGCTGCTCCACAGGAAGGAAAAAGTTATCGAGCTTTGCTGGTCATAAAGATACAGCCAACAGCTTCAGACCTGGGATAATAAAACACCCGTGTGGACTGCTGCAGAGATATGGATGCAGGAGATGAATAAAAAGGTGAGTGCATAGCTGTGACAGTATAAACATGCGAGTACACACAGTATTTATGCATGTACTCTTAAAGAAACTAGAGAGGTACTCAAATAAGGTAGGAGGTCTTTCCCTGACATGATCATAGCAATGAGATCACCAGTGAAGTCAGTTTGACTCCATCGCACCTAGTTGATTATTCTATTAATCAAATTAAGATCTATTGTAGCCTTTTCTTAAAAATTGTGTTTTCTCTCGTTTGCTATGTGTCAGAGGTGTTACCCAATCCGCAGCGAGATGTATTTCAACACTACTGAATTAAAAAGGCACGAAAGTGCAAGCAAACTGAATTGCACCCAGGCCACGGCGCACAAAAAGCACAATACTAGCCACTACACGACAAGGCAGAGATTGTTTCCTGTTACAGCACCACCAACTATCACACTGTAGTGGAGTCACTAAGCCAAGTCTATTCTATAGATGGAGAATGTGAGGCTTGGCATTCTGGCTGCGAGGACGCCACAGCTGATCGCAGCCATTGTAGACAAAGCTTGGAATTCATTCATTTGTCAACGTCATGAAATCATGCAACAGAAACGTTGCTTTGGCGAAGAGGATTTCTTGTCACCAACACTGACTGAAGGCTGCAGTCCACCGCGCTCTGCGTTCTGGCTGCGAGGAGGACGCCACAGCTGATCGCAGCCATTCTAGACAAAGCTTGGGATTCCACCAGATGCGCCGCAGAGCGATTCAGAAGCAGCTCTCTGCTTTGCTCAGTGGAGAATACGAGGCTAGTCTATTGTTGACAGAAGCTGCGTAAAGCTGCACCGAGCAGATCAAATTGCCCAGGAAGTCAGACACTGAAACAGCATAGAGAATCCGATCAAAAAAGACAAAACACTCTGCCTGTTACTTAAGTCTGTATATGTTTCTGTGATTGGAAGAGATGTGTCTTTGTGTTGCCACTACTGTTTCTATGGCTTCCATATAAAAGATATATTTGACTGCTTTCTAAGTTATCCACATAGGCATAGCTGCACAAGCTGATGGAACATGTTGGTGTCCTATTTGAAATGGCATTTCACTGCTCACGCTCCCTGGTGGTCTAGTGGCTAGGATTCGGCGCTCTCACCGCCGCGGCCGGGTTCGATTCCCGGTCAGGGAAAGTACACTTTATGTCTGTCTGTGACTGTGAATTTGCTGCTTGACAATAGTAATGTTGATCATTTGTCAATTTCATGAAATCATGCAACGGAAATGTTGCTTTGGCGAAGAGGATTTCTTGTCACCAACAATGACTGAAGGCTGCAGTCCACCGCGCTCTACGTTCTAGCTGCGAGGAGGACGCCACAGCTGATCGCAGCCATTCTGGACAAAGTGGCTCTCTGCTTTGCTCAGTGGAAAATACGAGGCTAGTCTATTGTTGACAGAAGCTGCGTAAAGCTGCACCGAGCAGATCAAATTGCCCAGGAAGTCAGACACTGAAAGAGCATAGAGAATCCGATCAAAAAAGACAAAACACTTGTCTGTTAGGTCTGTTTATGTTTATGTGATTAGAAGAGATGTGTGAATTAGCTGCTTGACAATAGTAATAATGATTCTCTTACCACTGCTACGCAGACGACACGCAACCCTACCTATCCTTCCCGCCAGGCGATCCCACTGTCTCGTTGCAGATCACGGACTGTCTATCGACATATCTGCATGGATGAAGGCTTGCGACCTTCAACTAAACCTCTCTAAGACTGAACTCTTGGTCATTCCAGCCAAGCAATCTATCCACCATAACATCAAACTACAAATTGACTACGCAACCATCACTCCAACCAAGGTGGTGAGAAACTTGGGTGTCATGATTGGTGACCAGCTGTCCTTTTCAGACCATGTTGCTACTGTCTCTCGGTCATGCCACTTGTATATACAATACAATGATCTTGTATTGATTGCACTTTTTGTTAACTCTTACTTCCTTCCCTAGGTATTTACCCCATTGATGTGATATGTACTGTGAGCTCTTACTAGTATTTATTGCTGCTCTTACTAGTATGTATTGTCAGTAGTTGATGCTCTGTTGATGCTTGTATGTTGTTCCTCAAATGTAAGTCGCTTTGGATAAAAGCGTCTGCCAAATGAGTAAATGTAAATGTAAATGATCATTTGTCAACGTCATGAAATCATGCAACAGAAACGTTGCTTTGGCGAAGAGGATTTCTTGTCACCAACACTGACTGAAGGCTGCAGTCCACCGCGCTCTGCGTTCTGGCTGCGAGGAGGACGCCACAGCTGATCGCAGCCATTCTAGACAAAGCTTGGGATTCCACCAGATGCGCCGCAGAGCGATTCAGAAGCGGCTCTCTGCTTTGCTCGTGGAGAATACGAGGCTAGTCTATTGTTGACAGAAGCTGCGTAAAGCTGCACCGAGCAGATCAAATTGCCCAGGAAGTCAGACACTGAAACAGCATAGAGAATCCGATCAAAAAAGACAAAACACTCTGCCTGTTACTTAAGTCTGTATATGTTTCTGTGATTGGAAGAGATGTGTCTTTGTGTTGCCACTACTGTTTCTATGGCTTCCATATAAAAGATATATTTGACTGCTTTCTAAGTTATCCACATAGGCATAGCTGCACAAGCTGATGGAACATGTTGGTGTCCTATTTGAAATGGCATTTCACTGCTCACGCTCCCTGGTGGTCTAGTGGCTAGGATTCGGCGCTCTCACCGCCGCGGCCCGGGTTCGATTCCCGGTCAGGGAAAGTACACTTTATGTCTGTCTGTGACTGTGAATTTGCTGCTTGACAATAGTAATGTTGATCATTTGTCAATTTCATGAAATCATGCAACGGAAATGTTGCTTTGGCGAAGAGGATTTCTTGTCACCAACAATGACTGAAGGCTGCAGTCCACCGCGCTCTACGTTCTAGCTGCGAGGAGGACGCCACAGCTGATCGCAGCCATTCTGGACAAAGTGGCTCTCTGCTTTGCTCAGTGGAAAATACGAGGCTAGTCTATTGTTGACAGAAGCTGCGTAAAGCTGCACCGAGCAGATCAAATTGCCCAGGAAGTCAGACACTGAAAGAGCATAGAGAATCCGATCAAAAAAGACAAAACACTTGTCTGTTAGGTCTGTTTATGTTTATGTGATTAGAAGAGATGTGTGAATTAGCTGCTTGACAATAGTAATAATGATTCTCTTACCACTGCTACGCAGACGACACGCAACCCTACCTATCCTTCCCGCCAGGCGATCCCACTGTCTCGTTGCAGATCACGGACTGTCTATCGACATATCTGCATGGATGAAGGCTTGCGACCTTCAACTAAACCTCTCTAAGACTGAACTCTTGGTCATTCCAGCCAAGCAATCTATCCACCATAACATCAAACTACAAATTGACTACGCAACCATCACTCCAACCAAGGTGGTGAGAAACTTGGGTGTCATGATTGGTGACCAGCTGTCCTTTTCAGACCATGTTGCTACTGTCTCTCGGTCATGCCACTTGTATATACAATACAATGATCTTGTATTGATTGCACTTTTTGTTAACTCTTACTTCCTTCCCTAGGTATTTACCCCATTGATGTGATATGTACTGTGAGCTCTTACTAGTATTTATTGCTGCTCTTACTAGTATGTATTGTCAGTAGTTGATGCTCTGTTGATGCTTGTATGTTGTTCCTCAAATGTAAGTCGCTTTGGATAAAAGCGTCTGCCAAATGAGTAAATGTAAATGTAAATGATCATTTGTCAACGTCATGAAATCATGCAACAGAAACGTTGCTTTGGCGAAGAGGATTTCTTGTCACCAACACTGACTGAAGGCTGCAGTCCACCGCGCTCTGCGTTCTGGCTGCGAGGAGGACGCCACAGCTGATCGCAGCCATTCTAGACAAAGCTTGGGATTCCACCAGATGCGCCGCAGAGCGATTCAGAAGCGGCTCTCTGCTTTGCTCGTGGAGAATACGAGGCTAGTCTATTGTTGACAGAAGCTGCGTAAAGCTGCACCGAGCAGATCAAATTGCCCAGGAAGTCAGACACTGAAACAGCATAGAGAATCCGATCAAAAAAGACAAAACACTCTGCCTGTTACTTAAGTCTGTATATGTTTCTGTGAT